TATCGTGCGGATAGATTGTGGTAGGTTATTCCAGAGTCTAGAAAATTTACAGGTGAAGTAATTCATATAAAGAGATGATTTAGAATGAGTTTGTTTCACTAGTGCCAAGGAATTACGGATGTCATAATGAGAGGTTTCTGCATATTGAATCGCGTGATCGGATGTAAACGATAGTTTATGAAGTAGTTTGAAGAAAAAGATAAGATTTAGTTTGAGTCTCCTCCTCCATAAAGGGTCTAGCCCAAGTTTATTACATCTAGAATTATAAGTTAAGGTACAATCAGCTCCAAGAATACGAAGTGTAAATCGTCTCTGTACTGATTCCAGCCTTAATTTATCCTTTATGAGCGCACTGCTAAGAATAAACGTGCAATATTCTAGAAGAGGTCGAGCACAAACTTTGTACATTAGAATACGTGACTCAGTGTTGTAAAGATTTCGAGTTATGTAACCTATTAGACGTTGAGACTTAGAGGTCTGTTTTAATATATGTTCTGTAAACGACAAGTCTTGGGAATATCTAAGTCCTAAGTCTACTACTGTATGTAACCTAGATAACACTTCTCCATTTATGGTAATGTCTAGGTTGAGTGATGTATCGCCGAAGCATATCCATCCACATTTAGCCGTATTAAGCTCCAGTTGCCATTTTAAGCACCACTGTGCTACCTTGTTAAGCTCCATGCTGATGCAATTTTGCATATTTTTCAGGTCATGTGGAGAAAATGAATATACTACTTTAAGATCATCTGCATATAGAAGGGGCTTACCGACACAAAAACTTTCACAAATATCATTGATAAACACTAAAAAGAGCAAAGGACCTAAGACACTACCTTGTATTACACCACTTCTAACAGGGACAGCGTTAGACAATGAAGAGTTAATTTTAACTATTTGATGTCGATTGCTGAGAAAGGAATCAAGCCAAGCAAGCAAAGGATTTTGAACCCCATAAGATGCGAGCTTACCTATAAGAAGTTGGTGGCTTTAGAAATGTCCAGATATAGCACTAAGACTAGATATCCTTGGCTACGTAGAGAATAGACTAAATTAAAGAAGTCAAAATGACATGTCATGCAAGAACGATTTTTAAGAAATCCATGTTGAGTATCATTGATAAATTTTCCAGCAAGTAAATAGTTGGAAAGTTCATCACTTATAATTTTTTCCATAATCCTAGAAATAACTGGAGTAATATTTATTGGCCGGTAATTGTTCATGTCAGTCTTATCTCCAGATTTGTAACGTGGTATGATGTACGCGGTTTTCCAACAGTAAGGGTAAGAACCGGTTTCCATAGAGAGAGTAAACAGCTTTAGAAGAAGAAGTGGAATATCTGAACCACCATATTTGTAGAGAAATTATGTAACGTGATCGAAATTCATGAATACAACAAAACGCATGACAACCAAAAGGAACTGATATTTGTGAAGTCGGTATGGCTTACTCATAGTCTGTTACGTTCGGTGTTTTTATTGAACATGAAAATTACTAATTCTTGCCACTGCATATACCTACTTCAGAAAAAATTCTATTTACCAATACCTACTACTTGACAGTGATGAAACTGACATCAGTTCGTATTCGAAATTCGCTCATTGAGGAAACATATTGTGTTTCACTTTTTGACCAAACGAAAATTTATTAACGAATGTGAATGTATTGCAAAGTTCACGTAAATAAATGTAAAAGTAAATTGCATAAGGACTGATGATTGAATAGATCTGAAAACTTTTTGTGTCACACACAGTTGAAATCCACAACAACAACAATTTAAAAAAACACATTAATTGATTGAAGAAGAAGTAAAGAAAAGTCAGATAAGAAAGTTTTCTTCACGGAAATATCATTCACTAAAGCTATTTAATCGTATTTGTAGTGATTAAACAAAAAGAAATCAGTCCACTGAAAAGATGAAGAACAACAACAATAGTAATAGTGATAAACACAATGAAATAAATGTGTACAATAATTAAAAGTAAACATATGTATAATAAGTGTGGAGAAACCGCCTTCAAAATAACTAACAATAAGATTATAATCTAATGTTTTAACATGTGGTTCAAAACGATATCTAGTCACTTTATAAGCCATTCAGACTAAGTAGTTCAATATCAATCTACGGTATCAGTTTGTTGATTAACTTGTAGTAAGTTATACATTGTAAATTATGAACCACATGTTAAAATATTAGATTATAATCTTATTGTTAGTTATTTTGAAGGCGTTTTCTCCACACTTATTCTACATATGTTTACTTATAAATATTGTCCACATTTATTTAATTGTGTTTATCACTCTATCACTATTGTTGTTGTTTTTCATCTTTTCAGTGGACTGATTTGTTTTTAATGGTTGGATTCATGAGTCGATTTAAGCTAGACCACCCTTAAATCGACTCATGAATCTAACAATCAGATTATTATAATTTCCTCAAAGCCTCATCCTGACAATGATTTATTTTTGTTTAATCACCATAAATACGATTATATAAGTTTGGTAAATGATATTTCCGTGAAGAAAACTTTCTTATCTGACTTTTCTTCACTTCCTCAATCAAACAATTTGTTTGTTTTCATAATTGTTGTTTTTATTTTCAACCACTAGTGTAATTGATTGGTTATACTTTGTAAATTCGTAACAGTAGACCATATCGTCAATTTGAACGTGAGTATTTTTCCCTTGAAAACCATGTAAGATACTTCAAGCTCGAAAATTAGACAACGTAACCATCTAATTGCGCCTATGAAGTAATTCGTTCCACACAAGCACTTGGAATAGTAAGTAAACTCTATGGAGGTTAACGAAGTGCACTTTTGTTAATACGTGTAAGAAACCTAGTGTGTAGAATGGATGTGCCAACTGACTATAGTATACTCGTGTTCTGCACACTTGTTGTTCCCCCACTTTTCTGAATAAGTCATTTTTAAACTACAGTTTAAAAAACAAAACTTTTATAAAACTGTCAAATTTAACTTGGCTTAGTTCATGTGCCTAC